GGGGGGGGGGGGGGGTGACAGGCGTTGCCGGTGTTGCGGAGAGGCCAACGAGACCCTTCCTCACGTGCTATGTCATTGCGGACTACATTACGCTGCCGTCCAGTGGCGTCACGACTCGGTCTTGCTGCGACTTAGGAAGACCTGTCGTCTGCCGGGGACCATCACGGTGAACCAGCAGGTTAGGGGCCTCGAGAGGGAACTGGGGGAACTACGACCTGACCTCGTGGTCAGGCACAAGCCCTCGAAGAGCGTCGTTATATGCGACGTCACGGTTCCCTTTGAAAATCGCTGGGCGGCGTTCGAGGAAGTAAGAGCGAGAAAGGTTGCTAAATACTCGCCCTACGCTGAGGCGCTCCAGCGGCAGGGATACCGCGTCGTTGTGACGGCCTTCGTCGTCGGGGCTTTTGGCTCGTGGAATCCGTGGAATGAGCCGGTGTTGAAGCTCCTGCGCGTAAGCAAGGCGTACGGAGCGATGATGCGCCGGCTCATGATTTCCGATACCATTCGTTGGTTGAGGGACATTTACGTGGAGCACGTGTCCGACGTCCGCCAATATCAAGCGCCTCCACGACCTGCCGATGGTACTATTCCCAATGTGTCGCTGCCTCGCGCGGTTTGCTGCCGTGCGACGGGCGCGCGGGCGGATGGCGGGGAAGAAGGTTCTCGAGACTAATCGTTTGTATGCATGTCGCGTAGGGCACGTCTTGTCCCGGGGGACCCGCAACTTTCATTTATTTATTTATTATTTAAAATATGTTGACTGCCGCGCCGACAGGAGCGGCCGTTAGGGCGCTCTCGCCATCGCGGCTGCTACATTTTAAATTTATTTATTTATTTATTTTTTAATGGCGCCCTTTACACGCGGGGACATCTTTTTGTTTTAATTTATGTTTTATTTAATCGTTTGAAGTGTTTGACTGCCGCGATGGCGGTGGCGACTGTGATAGTCGCCATCGTCCCCGCGGCTGCACATTTTAAATCTTTATATTTTTACTGTACATATTTATTTATTTTATATGCTTTTTATTTGTATTTTATATATTTACTAGTTATTTTAACTTGTGCGTGTTGTTATATTTATTTATTTATTGCGCGGCGGGTCCTACGTTCCGGAGGGGCGTGTCGTCGAGAGTGAGTGGCGTGGACGTTGGTGTAATCGTCTATTGTACATATGTATTTGTGTTCAGTGGATAAATGTTCGTAAGGATGAATGTCGTGAATAGAGTTAAGTTAAATTCGAGATAAAACGCACTGTGCGCATACCCCGCTGCGGCAGGGTATACAAGTATTATCTATTTATTATTATTCAAGTGGTAGTATGAGGCGTTGATACATTGGGACGGCCTACTAGCCGTCCCAATTTGATTAATTATTCATACCCACAGGGATCGAATTGCAAGGTTTGTGTTCGTCTTGGCCCAGCAGGGGGGGCTTGGTGTCCCCTGCGTCAAAAAAGTAAAAGATTAGCGCATAGTTATTTTATACTAATATAATTTGTATTCGCCACCGGGGATATTGTATATATGTATTTGTGTTCAATGGATAAATGTTCGTAAGGATGAATGTCGCGAATAGGGTTAAGTTAAATTCGAGATAAAACGCACTGTGCGCATACCCCGCTGCGGCGGGGTATTGTCCCCGGTGGATTATTCACTGAGTATAAAATAAAAGCGTATTATGGTATTAATGTTGTAGTATTAATATTGTAGTATGTAAAATGCAGTGAAGGAATGTGAGTAGATTGTCATTTGCGTAGCGATGTGACAATTAAGTGATCGTCTCATGGGTGCTGCAGTAATGTGATTTTCCAATCGATTCATGGGGCAGCATTATTTGGGCCATTGAGGACATCCGGGGTGGTTGTAGCCAGTAAGAGTCCAGCATACTCTTCGGTGCTTCTCAGAGGGATGAAGGGATCCATGAGGATTTCCATCCTGTTGACAAAAAAAAAGAAGTGGTTGCAAGCGCACTACTCGGTACCACTTATATCTTTCCGCTTAATATACTTAATGTCCCTATAATTTAAAAATAAAACATTATATATGTATAGATAAATTTAGAATAAAAAATGCTAATATTTTATACATGCACACGTAACAAATTCGAAAAATTACACCTAACAATGGCCATCTTGTTAATTGTTAAAGATTTTTTTTTGGTAAATGTCTGGAAAGACGGCAACCTCACCAATCATCTCGACCTTGATATATAACATGTTATAAAAAATGTAATTTTGAGCAATTTTTCCTAATACTACTATACGGCTGTCAGTTATAGTTTCGGAGATATTCGACTTTAATTTCTAAAATTATACAATAGACTTTACGTCGAACCCGTCCCTACCCCTCAACCCTTCCCTTAAAACTAATCTTAACTTAACCTATCTATTAAACTATGATAAATTGTAAACGTATATACGTAACACAATCAACAACAAATCATAGTGTCCCAGATCACCATGATCATACTTTGCGAGAACGGATTGAGGTAAACAAAAAGTCCTCTGCCGTTTTGCGATGTTCGCAATAATTTTCGAGAAATTAATTATTTCGTCTGAAATAACTCGAAAACTATTGCGAATTTCGCAAAATGGTATTTGACTTTTCTGTTCCGTTTAATCCGTTCTACTTTTCTACGATTTGTGTCAAGAAAGGTTTCGGACACCCTGTATATGTGAAACGAAATACTACGAAATTATGAAATATGTTTTAGATACGCATCGGAAGTTGCTCTTATAGTTCGTCCTTATGCATTGGGTACAGTGCTTTTCAGTACTGTATCGATGGTAGTGTTCAGCCTTATTTTTATTACAGTAAGTATAATTCCATAGATATCGATAGATTCCTATCGAACCTAATATTTTGTCATACATCTCATGTAGAGGAAAAATTTCGGAATTCTGATATAATTTTATATTATCTTTATATATCTAAACAGGGAGCATCATTGCCATTGAAAATTCAATTTGTATTCTTAGCCTTCAGCGCATTATCGGAAGTATTTATGTATGCGTGGCCTGCCGAACACTTAATACATGCGGTAAGTCCATTATTTGTAAGAAAATACATGATTACGTTCGTAACATAGTGTCGTTAATCCATGGTATGTTTTCTAGAGCAACGATGTAGCACAAGCAGCATTTGAAACGGAATGGTACAATGAATCAAATAATCTCCGGAAAAACTTACAAATGGTTATACTAAGAGGCCAGAAATCAGTAGTTATTGCATTACCATGCGGTTTGCCTACGTTATCCTTACGTTACTATGCGTCGGTGAGAAAATAATTTCGTTATGATTACTCAATAACTTGCAAATATATCTCTAAATAATTAAAACATTTATACATCTAAAATAAATGCATGCGTGTATGTGTGCGTGCGTGCGTGCGTACGTACGTGCGTGCTTGCAGACGTATGTATACTTACTTCTCGTGGAAAAAAAATATTTTTTATATCATAAATGTTCCAGTATTTATCAACTATATTCTCCTACTTTACAACGATGCGAATAATGCTCGAAGAGAAAAGCAATGAAATATAAGCAAAACAGCGTAGTTCTAATGAGTTTTGTTGAAGAAGAGTTCTCTGCACTGTATTATATAAATTATTAAATTATTATTCCAAGTTTATAAGTTTATAAGTTTATAATATATTTTATAAGTTTATAACATAGAGTTTATAACTTTATAATATTAATTTAATTTTAAATTTCTTTTTACTTAAAAAATTCTGATAATCTCCTACAACACGAGCAAATACACTTATATATAAGATATCTCACCAAACATATAATTTTTTAACAATGGATTTTCATCAACCTTTAACAGTTAAGCTATAATAATATCTACAGTTATGTGGGACTGGGTATCGATTAAGACACAAACTACTTATAGTGGCGAACGAAAGAATAAAGAAACTTTAATGCAATACAATGCAAAGCGTCTCTCTGCATTCGATGGCATAGCCACCTGTGGAAGGCGATACTCCAGTACACTTCAGTACAACACTCTGGTACGGAGTAAAATAAGTGGAATATAGTAAGACAGAGTTAACCGTCTACAATAGGAATAAGATATGGCTGAAAGAAGTAAGAGCAAGAAAATTGACCACTCACAGTCGATTATTCTTCTCACATTCGACTGTGATTAGTCAATTTCTTAATCTTACTTTTTAACCATACTTTATTCCTATTATAGACAATCTTAGATAATAACTATAATACGAGGGTAGTACCCAGAAGTACCCAGCCTAACAAAGAAAACACAAAAATTTTGAAAAAATATATCTTTATTTCTCAACATAGTCCCCTTTTAGCTCGATACACTTTTCCCAGCGATATTCAATAGCTTCGATACCATGTTTATAGTGAGAACCATTGAGTTCCTCAAAATAGCCATCAACCGCAGACTCCATCTCTTCATTGTTAGCAAATCTTTTACCATCAAGCCATTTTTTCAAGTTTGGAAATAGATAATAATCTGAGAAGGCTAAATCTGGTAAATAGACGCTATAGGGTGCGTGAGAAAGCAATTCGAACTTTAACTCATTGATTTTGGTCATCGCAATAACGGACGTGTGAGCCGGTGCATTGTCATGATGAAACAATACTTTCTTTTTCGCCAAATGCGGACGTTTTTTTTTTATTTTATCACTCAAACGCTGCAATAAGTTCGCATAATATTCGCCGTTGATTGTTTTTCCTTTTTGAAGATAATTAATGAAAATTATCCCACGCACATCCCAAAAAACTGACTCCATAACCTTGCCAGCCGATGGAGTTCTTCGCCTTTTTCGGAGCCGATTCTCCCCTTTCAGTCCATTGTTTCGACTCAGGTGTGAAATGATGAACCCATGTTTCATCCATGGTTATGAACGACGCAAAAACTCGGCCTTATTACTACAAAACATCGCCAAACACTCGATTGAAACATCCTCACGAAGCTGTTTTTGTTCAATTGTGAGCAAACGCGGCACACATTGTGCGCACAGCTTTTTCATGTCCAAATTTTCAGTCAATATGCGATGTACTGCACTTTTTGATATGCCTACCATGTCAGCTAACTCGCGCATTTTCAGTCGACGGTCATCCAATACTATTTTGTGGATTTTCGTCACCATTTCTGGCGTGGTCATCTCATTTGGTCGACCACTGCGATGTTCGTCTTGGCAGCTCTTACGGCCTCTTTTAAACTCTGCCACCCAATATTTTATTGTTGTAAACGAGGGAGCAGACTCCCCCAGAGTAGAATCTAGCTCAGTTTTGATATTGGTTGGACTGAGACCTTTCAAATGAAAATATTGTATCACATAACGATGACCACTTTTCTCCATGTTTACAAATGTACTGAGAGCGTTCACTATTGATGGCTGCCAAACTAATACTAAACAACGTAGCGTCTTGAAACTTCAAACTTCAGTTTTATAAGGTTGATGCTTTCGGCCATAGTGATTTTTTTCAAACAACAACCGCCATCTATACGTCAGGTCGGGTACTTCTGGGACTACCCTCGTATAAACATATAAATTACTACGTTTATACTCAGCAACCTGAACGCGGCTTGACTTATACCGTGATCTAAAATAAATCTAGTAACTAGCCGTTTATTTCGTTTACTTAAAAATTGACGAAATCGAATTTAGTATATGCTATACGAGGTAATATATACAATTAAATTATAAGACTGATTTAAAAAATGTATCTTATTTTATAAATTATACAACCTAACTATGTTTCGCTTCAATGTATTTCCTTTTCCTATCTACACAGTATTGCATGCGTTTTTTTCAAAACGGGTTTCGTTCAACGATTTCTTCACTTTTGGAAATATAAAAAAGTCGCAGGGAGATAAATTTGGCAAATACAAAGGGTGCTCAAGTACAAATATTTTTTTATCCACTAAAAATTGCTTCACAGAAAAAGCGCTGTGGGCTAGCGCATTGTCTTGATGGAGAATCCCATCGTTGTTCTTCCACAAATCCGGATGTTTCTCCCTTACGCGTTTCCTCAGTTTCTGCAGAACTTGCAAATAGTAAGCCTAATTGACTGTCGACCTTTCCTGATAATTTCACTAATTTTTATCACGTTTTCGTCGATTTTTTATGTGTTAGAACGTTCCTCGCGTTTATCGTTTTCGACAGCTTTCCGACCCTCGGAAAATCTTTTATGCCACATAAAAATCATTGCATCTGACATAAGATTAACTCGTAAACGTCTTTTAACAGCTGAAAGCATTCAGTCGAAGTTTTCTTGAATTTCACAGGAAACTGCATAGCTTCACTTTTTACCATAAATCCGGCACGGTCGCTATGCAGGGTGCGCTTCTAACAATTCAAAACGAGACTAAACAAGTTAGGACGCAAATGTTCTTATTCGATCGAGAAGACTTCAAGGTCAATGATTATTTGAAGTAAATCGTAATGGTGGGAAAAATGAGCTCTTACGACGACCAGTCTTCCCAATAAATATAATAATATAACAGTTTCATTGCTGTAATATAACAGAATATAACATGCAATGTAATAGATATGTTACAAGTAATATATATGTTAGTTATAATTTCTCACTCATATTACTCATATAATACGAAGTTGCCGTTATATAACAGAAATATAACGTAGAAGAAAGTAGCCAAAAGCGACACAAGGCCTCCTAAAACGACATACTTCTATATTTCATATATTAAATGTTGTATTTTATCGAAACTAATATAAACGTAATTTATTTTATCAGTTAAATCATGAAAAATTCATATGTGGTATATTTCTTGTTCTTTTATATGCTAAATTAGTAAATATCGAGTTTTTGAAATTCGTAAGTTTTATTTCTATGATTTTTATTAAAGAATTACGTAAACCAAACAGCGATAATAATTTTTTTGTTTAATATTAAATTCATCTGCATGCATTTGGCTTTTGTACAAATATTTTTTAAATATTTTTATATTCATTATTTTTTTATTGTACAACTTGAAAAATTTTATGAGAATGTGTCTTAAAGTGACATCCCGTACAGTATACGATAGATGCAATACACTGTGACTAACATAACTTGATTCTAACCTCCCATTGTGACGTGATATTTAATTATTTTATTTTTTAATTCTGTTTAGTTTAAAACTATAACATGTAAAATATGTGAGAAATGAAAAAGATGGAAATGCCAAAGATATGTTTTTAATTAATTATATTTCTCTTTTGTAATATTATATTATATTTCCCTTATTATATTATAATTTTATAATATTGTATAATATAATATAATATTATTATATTATATTATATTTCCCTTATTATATTTCCTTTTTGTAATATTATATTTTGAATAAATGAATATTATTCAACTATTAAACGCATTAAGAAACTATTTATTATCAAATATTATCATATATGCAACATGTTATATAACTTCCAATAGGTATGTTGCTTTTGGCACCCATTTTCTTGGAACTCCATTTTCGTGCGTTTTACAAAAACATTTTTTGTTTTAAATATAGAAACAATTTCATTAAAAATATGATATTATCTGATAGGAAGTACTTCTAACTACATATATATATATATATTTACATTTATATTTTGAGCTTTACATTAAGACATAACCTCCAAAAACAAAGTGGTATGTCGCTTTTGGTGCCTTTACTCTATTACTAAAATGTTATATAGCTATTGTAGGAAGTGGTCTTAGATGAACGAAACACCACTCATTTTTCTAAACGATATATTATAAGAATACTTTTTGTAAAATACTACAAGAAAAGAGTAACGTGTGTGTAGGTTAGTGTAGTCTCGAGTTCCGATTTTACCTATCTGGTTTTTTTTTGTTTCTCTAACTCTGGCTTCTCCGGCGTACCCGCTCCTCGGAGGACTCGGGTCTTTATTTAATCGACGTATCAGAAAACGTGAAGGATACAAGAAGCAGTAGTCTGGGTTCAATGCAACTGAATATGTGTATTTCGATGTAATATAATAAACAACTTATTGCTACGGCGGTTGGTACAAGAATCTCCTTAGCTCTCCTTCGTTCTCGCCGAGACGGTCTCGCACGTCTCTTCTTATCCTTTCTCTATTCTTTCTTCTAGTCTATCCGTGACCTCTGGCGCGGCTACTTGCTTTGTGAACTAAATTGTACAGTTAGAGTCTTCTATATTGTTTCTCGCCTACAGCTCGGCTCTCCTGACTCGAACTTTTGTCCTCGAGGTTCGCTTATCAGTACGGCGTCTCTCTTTTTTTCCCCCGCTGTTGCCGTTCTTCGCAGTCAGCGCTTCTGTCCCTTCGTCTTAGCACATCGCTCGCTCGCCGTCTTAACTTATCTTTAGCTCGGTATTTCTTACAGTGGTCGTACCTATGTTCGCGCGTTTTCTAGTTCGTGTTAAGCAGTCGTATCCACGGTTTAATTTTATCCGGATAAAATTGTGTCGATTGGCCTCACCGATTGATTAAAGCCTGGAATGTCTTTGATCACATAGCGATTGTGCTCAAGGGATTTCGCCACCAGGTAAAGCCCTTTATATTTCGCCTTCAATTTTGAGCTTTCTCCCGGTT